CATTGTACAGTGGCATTAAGTGCCGTAATGTGCACCTCTGCCTGTTCCTTCGGGAATAAAAGGTGTGAAGTTATGATATGTTATGTTTCCTCACGATGATTTGGTAGGGAGTGTCAGACTCTTACTGACTTAAAAACCACGCCGTTCCTTCTCCTGCACGTCGAGCCGGATCCCCGGTTACCCGTTAGGTTCTCCACGACAGACAATCCTAGTATGGGGCAACGTTAAAATTATTGTGTTCATTTCACAGAAGAGGCGGCAAAACTGAAGAAGGAAGCGAAGAAAAAGAGGAAAGCACAAAAAAATTCATTAAGACGAACGGTGAAAGAGGAGAAGGCTAAGAGTATTCTAAGACAGAAGTACCTGATGGCGAAACTCGGAATGCCACCGAATATGACCACAACAAGTAAGCGGTTCTTACACCAATGGCCTGTGGAGGCAACGTGGAATTTGGAAAAATATAATTACTACTAACCGGTTCAGTTTTCCTTTTAATCCTTACTAATAATATAAATCAGAAAGTGAGTTTGTTTGTTTGTTCCGTTTTCACGCCGTAACTACTAAACCGATTGCTTTGAATTTTTACAGACGTAAAGTTAGAAGTCCGGATTAAATAATAGGGTACTTTTTATCCTGGAAAAATGTGATATTCCCGAGGGAAAACAAAAGTATTGGTATATGATGGTATATGTCACATAGGCTACTTTTTATCCTGTTGTGACGCGAGCGAAGCCGCGGGTAAAAGTTAGTAATATACAAGGTGTAGTTTTGAAACCGTGTCATTTCTCGGAGGCACGCCACAGAAGTCATAAAGGTTCAATGTAAGACGAAATTTCGGGTCAATAGTTAAAAATACGGCTATAATAAATCGTTTAAGTTCGACAGTATTTCAGAATAAGCGACAGCAATGTTTCTTATTTGAGTTTTATGGAATTAGGAATAATATCAATTACGTGTTTGAGTTTGTGTGTGTTAAGCCGCGTTATAAAGCTAGTTACAAGATGGCGGCGTGTACTTCGCACCTACGGATTTCCGTAATTTCAGAAAAATTAAAAATTTTACCTTTAATTTTTTTTATTGATTAGGTCTTAGAATCGATAACCGAGTTACCTCCTATACTAGGAATTTTAATTCGATTCCAGATTTGACAATTTCAGTGTTGCAACGTCATGACAAGGACTAAATAGTGACATTGCGAAATTATTCGATCTGGAAATGGAAGTCTCGTTTATAATAATTTTACTCTTGTAAACTAAGTATATCAGGAAATTAAATATTTCTGAACCGATAATTTAGATTTGACGATTAATTAACGATCTGAGACTTTTCTTTTATAATTGTGTGTGAAATAAATAAAAAAATGTAATCATGAAGGAATATGACAAATAAAACAGATAGATGTATTATGGTAATAAGTTATTTTATAAATTGTCGCCGTCATCGCTATCGCTATCCTGTCACTTTCTGTAACATTTATTATAAAACATACACACTGATTGTTTATCGGTTTTTGTGTTCATCACTACATTATTATATGTGGTATCATTATTTCACAAAATGACAGTAGCTATTGTCAAATCTGGAATCTAATTAAAATTCTGACTATAGAAAATGACGCGGCTTTAAAACAACACCTTGTATAATGCATGTTTAAAACAAAAAATAACTAATGAACCATTGCAAGAAGCAAACTTCGAAAGCGCATACGAACACATTCGTCGGTGCGCCTGCCAAAACTGATATGTGCAAATATTTAGTTTTTTTTTTCTTAGCTAGATGTCCTTCAGATCGTATAGCGCATCGATTACAAAAACAAATATGTGTTATTTCCCTATAGAAATCGATTAGACAAATCTTATATGTGCACTTTCTGGCCATGACAAATTGGTTATGTGTTCGATTGGTTACGGTTATGTGACATAAAACGCACATGTCAGAATTTGCAAAATCACATAGATAGTTTGGCAGATTAAATATCAACCATTTTGTTTAAAATTTTTACCGTTTTCTAAGATAAATCTGATATGTGCACCAAAATCGAAAATAAATTTATTGGGGATGAACATTACAGTGTTATCATTTTCACTTTGATCTCAGTTATTTTTATCATAATTTTTGCCATCACACTGCATTTTTAATTTATTGCTAAGTCCATTAACCTTTCAGTGCAAGTGTAAAAAATAGTTTATTGTCTCCTCCTGAAAACTTGACCAAATGCACATAACAGTTTTGGCAGGCGCACCGACGATATTACATTGTCAAAACAGCCCGCGAATTCGTACCTACGTGCAATTCTGGTTTCTCCCGTTCCCTTAGGATTCGGTTCCAATCAAATCAAATCATATTATTTATTTGCTCAAACATACATATATACGTGTATACATAAAATAAACAATAGCAAGTAAGATAGCGGGTAGCAGTGAAAAAAGTTCAAGACATGTTGGCCGTATACAATGGGGTTGCCGGGACTCCGGCTCGAAGCGCAGAAGGAACGGGGTGGTTTTTAGTCAGTAAGAGTCTGACACTCCCTCCCGCCTCACCCAGGCGGGAAGTCATTCTATGATTTTCACCGCTTAAAAATTCTTCCCTTCAGCCGTCTTGATGTGACTGAATAACAAACAAACACACACACACACACAAACTCACATATTTTCACACTTATAATATCGGTTCAAGCTAATATCAACCATCAGCCCTACAGTTACAGCGTAAAGTCCTCTGTGGGCAACCTAACATTCGGAAACCTTATATTTATTGGGATTATGCCGCACGATTCAGTATTTTTATGTATTTCAGGATAAAAAGTATACAGTGGTGTCCCCAGGATATTAAACTGTCAAACACCAAGCGGACACCGGTGACCGCAACCTATTGTTCTATAATTGTGTCTATAATGACGGTACTCAACGAGTTAAACTGTCAAACACCGCGAGGACACCGGTGACCGCAACCTATTGTTCTATAATTGTATCTATAATGACGGTACTCGACGAGTTAAAGTATAATCGTACGACATTTCATCGTAATCGGACCGATAGTTTGTGCGTGATGCGTGATCATAAAGACAGACAAAATAGTTTTTTATTCCATTTTTGGGTTCAGTATCTATTTATAACACACCCTACTATTTTTTTCAATGTAATGTATTACACTAAGAATATGTAAGAATAGGTTTGTAAGAATCATAGTAATTGGCGTTCCTTAGTCTCTGCCTACCCCCATGGGAGACAGGCGTGAAGTTATGTATGTATGTATGTAATTTACACTTCCATAGTTTTATTATATCTAGTTGATGTACCTATTTCGTTGACTAAGACTAAGTTAATTACGAACTTTCATGGTTTATTTTAAGGTTTTGTTTATATAATGGTTACATAACATAACATAACATCACGCCTTTTATCCCGAAGGTAGGCAGAGGTGCACATATGCCACTGTACAATATAACACCCACTTTTCACTATTTATGTTACGAGTCCCATGTAATAGGGGGTGAGCCTATTGCCATATACCGGGCACAATTCCGGACTCCGTGCTACTACTGAGAATTTTTTAAAAACTCAGTAATACTTTGCCCGACCCGGGAATCGAACCCGAGACCCCTTGCTCGGCAGTCGCACTTGCGACCACTCGGCCAACGAGGCAGTATATAATGGTTGTAGGTAGTATTAGGTCCTAGGGATGTGTCGTAACAGGCGTTGCACCGTGGAGGCTCCGGAGCAGGTGTCTTTTAGAGGACCCGGTGCCTCCATTCAGGTGTTGAGGGTGGCCACCGGGGTGGTTTTAATGAGATAAAAATCACACACTCCCTAGTCTTTTATCCCCAAAAAGGCTGGTAACCGGGGCTCCGGCTCGACGTGCAGGAGAAGGAACGGGGTGGTTCTTAGTTAGTAAGAGTCTGACACTCCCTCCCGCCTCACCCAGGCGGGAGAAGTCATTCGATGATTGTCCCCCCTTAAAAAAAATCCCCAAAAAGTTAGCCTTTTGAAGGTGTCCCCCCGTCATTAAAAAAAAAGGTAGTATTAGGTACGATGGGGTTGGCGTATCCTCATGGATAAAAACCCCGTATTAATTACATGTAGAATAAAAAAAACTAAATAATTTTACTATATGTAATAATTAGACATACAAGATGTTGTTTTAACTCGCCGAGTACCGGTTTTGTAGACACAATTATAGAACAATAGGTTGCGGTCACCGGTGACCGCTTGGTATTTGACAGTTTAAAGCCGCGTCATTTTCTAGGAGGTAACTCGGCTATCGATTCTGGGTCCGAATCAATTAAAAAATTTTAGGTAAATATTTTTCATTTTTCTGAAATTACGAAAATCCGTAAGTGCGAAGTACACGCCGCCGTCTTGTAACTAGCTTTATAACGCGGCTTAACACACACAAACTCAAACACGTAATTGATATTATTCGTAATTCCATAAAACTCCAATAAGAAACATTGCTGTCGCTTATTCTGAAATACTGTCGAACTTAAACGATTTATTATAGCCGTATTTTTAACTATTGGCCCGAAATTTTCTCTTACATTGAACCTTTATGACTTCTGTGACATGCCGCCGAGAAATGACACGGTTTCAAAACTACACCTTGTGTAGAGGTAATATACCAGCGGACCCGACAGACTTTGACAAACAAAAAATCATTTAAATCAGTCTAGTTGTTTAGTTGCAATATACATAGATAAATAACCTAGGCAAAGAATGCAGCGCCATCTGCCGGGCTGATTTGTGAATCTAAACTGTATACAGAAAAATTCATTTAAATCGGTCAAGCCGTTTAGGAGGAGTTCAATGGCATTACACACGTACAGCAGAATTATATACAATACGACCCGCCCCGGCTTCGAACGGGTGCAATATGCATGTATTATACATATAAACCTTCCTTAAGAATCACTCTATCTATTAAAAAAAACCGCATTAAAATCCGTTGCGTAGTTCTAAAGATCTAAGCATACATAGGGACAGACAGACGGCGGATAGCGACTTTGTTTTATACTATGTAGTGATAAAGATAGGTAGGTATGTGTATTTTTATTTATTCATATCTTTGTATTTGTATGCGTATTTGTCAAATAAATTATTTTCCTTTCTTCTTCCATCTGGTTACATGGGATTACCATTCATAGTCAATCTCCCATCCGTAGTCAATCGGCCATTGGACGTTATATTTCTTTTGCATATGTTTATAGATATCGGAATAATTCATTTTCCCAGTAACATTAGTAAGAAACGTCTCGCGTATTTGTTTATATATCTTTCTTTTCATTTTTTTATTCTTCTCTCGTTTCTTGGCCATTACATCAAGGACGTTCTGAAATGATTTTAATCTTTCCAAGTCCTCTTGACTCGGTCCATCCGTATTTTCTTCGCCCTTGATTTGAACTTTTGAAAGTGCCGCTGATTCCATGCCTAGAAATAAATAAAACGTTATATTTCAAACTTATACATACATAACATCTC